TTTCATATATTAAACATCATCGGGCGTTTCTATATAAGCGTGTAGGAATTTTCGAAAACAGGTGATTTTTTATAGTGCTTTCTAACCCTAATTTTGGTGACGTCATTCGTTTTGACGTTTTTTGGCGATGTTCAGCTGTTACATTCTCTGTAACGGCGTCTGCTGCGTTGCGTTTTGTTTGTTTTGAATGAGTGTTCACCAAGTTTCGCATTTATATTTTATTGTTTACTTATGTTGTTGGTTATATTACTTTGTTATGTGACTTTTTGTTATTTATACATAATGGACGACTTAAGATTTCTCTGGAATCAGACAATTTTTACTACAGGACAGTTAACCTAGTGATGGTGAGGACACGGTAGGCCTAGGTGATGAACAATGGCCTAACAGTTTGGAACCAGAACCCATTCAAGCTATCAGTAATGTGAATCATGCGGACACTGATAACGAAGAATATGCTGTCTAAGCGATATAGATTTGTTCGATGAGGGAGAGTTTTTGTATGAGGACTCGGATTTATCCTCACTCTTTTCGCACTCAGAGGATGAGTTCATTCACACTCAAAAGGACCTGGACGCTCTGTCTTCAGGATCGGACAGTCCTAAACAAAAAAAGCGCAAGAGAAAAAATACTCCAGTCACCTCGACGATCATACTAAGAGGGGGTAAACCTAAGAAGACGACCGAACCTGCTGCAGGCGATTTACCTGCCTTTGGCCCTGGTGTCGACTCGACTTCTGGGGCTGTGCCATCGACTGGACTATGCGGATCACCTCCACCTTCAGCTCTGGCACCTGCACCACCGAAAGTACTGGACCATCTCCACCTGCAGGGTCACCACCACCGCCTGAACCACCTCGACGGCCCAGACCACCTGGACCCCCTGGACCGCCCGGATCTCATGGACCCCCTCCACCTGGTCCTCCACCTATCGGAATCCAATTCACTGAAGATAACGATACCTGCAGCCACAATAACTGGTTTCGCGCCAGTTTTGAGAATGCACTAATGCCAGTCATTGGTCATGTCCTCACAGAACGTCCAACCATGTCACACTACCCCATCGCCATCCCAACCATTGAAAACTAGAGTGTTAACCCCTAACTTTACTTGACCGTCGGAACCCGCGCCAATGTGCCCATTATCGTCGAGTTTGTTGAAAACATCAGCCACCACATAGAGTCAGTAGAACCATCGTCCCAAAACCTTGGACAACTATCCTCCAAAGTTTCAGGCCTCACCATCCTCAGCCACTCCCTTGAAAGAGCCACCCTTCCAACCTGGCACGCACTTACTTTAACAGTAAATCCGAAACACTCATATAAGAAGATTAACGACAAGAACTTTGCATCAAAGATCAACTTTCTTGCTTCCGGCCTAACCTACCAAGGTACTCTCAAGTACCCAGTCAAAGTACACACGATCCGCAAAGAGCTATACCTCGTTACTCCTACAAATTACAATCCCAAAAAAGGTCCAGTAGATTATCTGAAGTTCTCCCCATCAGCGTACCTCCTTGCTGATGTATTCTGGTTCCAACCGCACATTTGGTCTCCTGAACCATACCATCATCAAAGTCAAAGTCAAAACATTCTTTATTCATTATAGTTTCACATTACATGAACTTGAATAGAGTCATAAGCTAATTCAAAATTGCTTACTGCAAATTAAATACATAAAAAGAGTTCTAAAATTACTTTACTTTTACTTTTACCAAAACGGTGACTTTAAGGATTACAGTATTTGGAATTCAAATTAAGTTAGGCTTGTAACTGTTTTTTTACTAATACTAAATAATTCTGTTACTGAGTAGCAGGAAGTTCTTAAAAAATATCCTTTTAAGAGCTGCTTGAATTTATTAAATTTTGTTTCTTTTTGGATGTGAGCTGGTATAGACTGGATAAATTTTAGCCCTATGTTAGATGTCTTTTTAGTGTAAAATCCGAGATTATGCCGAGGTAGGTTAATTTTTAATCTGGTGTTATATACTAGTTGTCCTGTTGAGATGGATGATAATTGGATCTGTTTAGAAAAAATTATTGTTTCATAAATATAAAGACTATAAACTGTTAATATTTGTAATTCATGAAAGAAGCTCTTGACTAGCTCTTTCTTTTTAAGATTTTTCATCGCCCTGATAGCTTTTTTCTGCTTAATTAGTACTTTATCTAAATTAGTTTTTGTTGTTGCCCTGTATAGAACAATTCCATATGAAATATGTGAATGTATTAATGAGAAATAAACAACTCTTAAAGTGTCTAAACTGCATATTCTGAACATCTGTCGCAGAGCAAGGATACCGGAAGATACCTTTTCAACCACATAATTCACATGGCCCTCCCAAGATAGATGTTTATCGATAATTAGTCAAAGAAAGAAATTTTGTTTGCTTTACTTGGTTTAATCTTTCTGATTTTATGCAAATGTTTGGTTCAAAATTTTGTCTACGTTGTTTAGTGGAAAATGATATAAAATTGGATTTTTCTGTGTTAATAAGCAGATTTTTTCGGTCAAGGAATTCTTTAGTGGATAAAAGACTCTCCTAAAAACCTTTAAATCTGTTGATTTGATCATCCCGGAATTAGCACATTTCAATCATCAGCAAATGGACACATAGACCCGCCGTTTCCAGGAATCGCTCCTGGCATACCTCTAATATAGCAGAGAAAAAGTAGAGGCCCCAGGATCGATCCTTGCGGCACCCCACATTTCAGCGTCTGATGCTGAGATCATCCTCGGATTAAAGATTGAATCAGAAGAATTCGATGGAGTCACAGTCCCTATCCTAAACCCACAGGCTACTCTAATCGATGAAAATTCCCAGTATTTACAAGGTACACTCCCCATGACTGGAGCGATATCCATCCGTGTCTGTGACCGGGCTTCTCACGAAGGCTACAAAAAATAGGGCTCTCAGCAAACATCATAGGTATATATGAAAATGACAACGTATACGGGTCATTCTCCACTAAAAGCAAAAAACTAAGTATCCCTGTGAAAAAAAAAAATTATATAGAAGACTTTGATTTTCATATTTACAAAATATCTTTAATTAAATTTGTTTTATAGCATACATATGCTATTTTTTCAATAATTTGAAAAATTATCATAGATTTCTTGTTCACAGACTATGACAAGTCATGTCCGTGGACTGTCACCTACCATGTTTCTAACAGTTAGCAAGTGAATAAAAAATAAAAAAAGATGTTTTTTTCTTATGGAAATAATTGTATTGCAATAATTAACTGTTAGTAATCGTCTCACCCCCTTAAATTTATTTTTAATTAAATAATTTTTATCAAAATTTCTATAAAACTCTTGTCACTAAAATTGTCATCATGTCTGTGGACAATTGAATTTTAGTCTCTAAATGACTTTTCTAGTAGTGGAACTTGACTAATGCAGTACTTGTACAAGAAGAGGGATAGCCATCTTGGATATATTCAGTTCTTTGAGTTGTGCTGTGAAGAAATTTGTGTTGTTTTGCTTGTTGTTGTGAGAAAAGGAGGCAACGTTAAGATCATCTCATCAGATCTGTGGTCAGTATTACTGTAAACACAATTGTACTGTTATTGTGTTTTTATTTTTGTACTATCCTATTACAGGTGTTCAAACCAAAACAGTCATTTTATTAAGATAACCTAAAAGGTTTTGGGTGTAGACAATCATTCTCATGCTTGGCATCATTTCCGTGGACATCATGTCCGTGGACTACGATGTCCACGGACATGATGAAAATGTCCACGGACATTATTTTAAAAGGAAAGTCAATAAATAATAACATTTTAACTTTTTTTATGTAGGTTCCCTTAATTATTTATCACCCAAACATATATTAATGCCAGAAAGTTTAAATTACACATTTAATTTCTGTCACAATTTATAGAATAACTTAAAAGAAATTTTATTACAATTTTTACAAAGAAAATTTAACTAGGCCTACTTAAGCCAATTTGGTTGCCTTAACTTAGTCATTAATTACACTTAGTACACAATTTATATTTTATGTTTATTAATATTTTAAAATACAAAATTAACTGAATGTTCAAAACTTAAATTCAAAGTATAAGTTGGAGGAAAAGTGACATTGTAATAAACTGTTTCATGATTAAAACATGAAAGATTAAAAAATTTCAACATGAATATTAATTTGAAAGCAAAATTGTCTACAATTTTACCCTCTAGGTATTTTTTTTATTTTTTTTCAGGCTTTGACAGTCAAAATGCCAGGCAAAAAGAAAAAGAAAAATTCAGACGCATACTTATTAAAACGGAAAGAGCAAAAGAGGTTGAGCAACGTGCAAGGGAAAAATTAAAAACTGATCCAGACAAATATGAAGAAGAGAAGAAGAAAGATAGGGATAGGAAAAAAAGGAGTAGAAAAAGTATTCATGAAATGACAGAAAGAGAACAGAGAAAAGTTAGAAAAGGCTGGAAGAAATGTTCCCAGACTTACCGGGAACGGTTGAAAAAAAATAAAGAAATAGAGGAAGAACTTTTGAATAACACGCCACCTAACAGCCCAATGCCTATTTTAAATGTTTCAAATGAAGTTGAGGTATCAACATCAAGGGTTGACAGTGGTAAAAAGAAGAGGAGAAAAAACAGAGAAAAAATGAAAAAAGAAATGAAATCTCTAACTGATGAAAATAAAAAGCTCTTAAGGAAATTGGCAAAATACAAACAGAGGCTAAATAGATTGAAAAAAGCCAAAGTATTGGACCTAACGCCCAGGAAGAAAATTGAAAAACTATTGAACGGACAAAAGTGTTCTAATGAAGTAAAAAAACAGCTTTTATTTTCTGAAGTCTTGCAAATGCAAGCTAAAAGTAATTTTGCCAAAGAAAGAAAACTCAGCCATAAAAGGCTAATGGTAAAATCTCTCAGTGGGAAAATTGTTAAAAAATACAAGCTGTCCCATAAAGTAGCATCCTTAACTTCCTGGAGGACTCAGATCAGTGGTCAAGAATGGACCGCTGGAGTTCATTTAGTAAGAAAAAGAGACTTATTAAAAAAAGTCAAACTACGCCAGGATGTATTGACATTCCTGGAAGATGATGAAAACAGCAGGCAATGCCCTGGAAAAAAAGATACGATAACAAGGTCAAAAACTAAAAAGCAGAAAAGGGAGTTGAACGACTCACTAAAAAACTTGTATACAAAATTTATATCATGCTATGAGGAACATAACAAAATAAGCTATTCTCATTTCTGCCGATTAAGGCCGTTTTGGATTGTCATTCCTCACTGCAGGTCAAGGGAAACTTGTCTCTGCAAAATCCATACTAACATGAGCCTTATTGTTTCAAAAATGAACACGCTAAAGATGATCAGAGAAAGAACGCCTGAAGACCTAATAAAGAACATTACTTGTGAAAATGAATATTTAAAGGAGAAATGTTTGGAGAAAAAATGCATGGAGTGTAAGGGAAACAAGGTAGCATTTTTAGATTACAATGAAGAGGACAGTGTCACTTTATATCAATGGGTTGACAAGAAAGTTGAAGTGCAGATGAAAGGCAGAAAAAAGATTTGCAAGAAAACAACAAAGGAAGAAATAACTTGTTCTAAGAAAAAACTGAAAATTTTGTTTCAAAGCATGTTTGATAAATTTGTTCAGCATGTTAATAACATAATTCATCAACACCATGCTGTCAGACAAATAAAGAAGACCTTAAAAGAAAATGAAGCTTTCTTGCATATAGATTTCTCAGAGAATTATAATTGCAAATTTGGCCAAGAGATCCAGTCATTTCACTTTGGAGGAAGCAGAGATCAAGTTTCAATGCACACCTCTGTACTGTATTACCATGGCATAAATGGAACTGTCAGCCAGACTCTGTGCACATTATCTGAAAACAGAAGACATGATTCTGTCGCCATTTGTGGCCACCTAGTACCTATTTTCACGGAGATAAAAAAGTATGTTCCGAATCTGGAAAAAGTTCATTTTTTGAGTGATGGCCCGACCAATCAGTACAGGAACAGGAAGATGTTTGTTTTAGCTGCTAAATTTATAGCGAGAGAACTAAATGTAGAGACATTGCATTGGCACTTCTCCGAGGCCAACCATGGGAAAGGTGCCCCAGATGGGGTTGGTGGGGTCCTTAAGCGAACTGCAGACTGTGTTGTAGCTCGGGGTAAAGACATTCCCAGTATTGATGCTTTGATACGAGTGCTAGAACAAAACTGTAAAGGAGTTCATCTCTTCAAAGTAGATACTGAAGATATCTTGAAATTAGATACAGAATTCCATGGTTTAGAACTACCAAAATTTAAGGGGATTTTGAAAGTCCACGAAATAGCCTGGAGTAGAAAAATGAAAGATGAAATCTCAGCTAGACGACTCTCTTGTCTTCTATGTGAAGCCAATCAAGAATGCGACCACTATGAGATTGGGAAGATAATGATTCAAACCCCCAAATGTATCCTTTGGAAATTAGTATACATAGGATTTTACTGTTTCAATTTACCTGTTAGGGGCCTAAATGTTTTACTGTCTACTTTTTCATATAAATTACTGTTCGATTAACTACCTTTACAACTGTTCCAATTTATTTGTTTTCTGTATTTTGTTTTGGTTTTTCCTACTATTGTTTAAGACACACTCAGTTTTTATCCAAGCATATTAAAGTAGCATGATTATTTGAATGTTTTCCTTAACCAGTTTTTCAGGTGATAAAAACCATGATGGAGAAGGAGGTGATGACAATGTCTGCACTAATCTACCTGCTAAGTGTATCCTTTTTAATTTGTTTTGTTGGATTTTTATTTTGCTAATTTATTACTTTTCTCAAAGGAACAGATGAATAATTTTACAAGTTACAACAGTTTCATTGAGCTATTAGAAGGCTTGTACTTATAAATATATTTAAAGAAAGATCTTTTCACCACACTATGATGTTTTTGGCTGTATTACATACGTTGATTGGTGGCTGAAAGTCACGTTTTGCTGGCCATGCCAGCTGTCATCGTAATTTGGGGACCGAGCAGGTTTTTACAGGCCGGGGCCGCAAAATCAGCTGTCCGCTTACTTACTTAAAACATGAATGCATTTTAAATACACAATCAAAATCCATAGCATTGCAATAGAATTGTGTTATTGTCACCGTTGCCTAGCAACTACGGTATTTATTTTTATTTTCGCTGATTCCTTAAATTATTTCTTCACATAACCTTAAAGTTGTAGTTGTGTTGACTCAGTGTGCATTATTTTAGTGGTGAATAGTGGTAATAGGGTATAGTGTGGTGAAAAATAGCGTTCGTACCACGGACCAAAATGGTTTTGCAGCTCTCGATCGATTTAAGTTCTCGACTTCGTCTCGAACTTAAAAACTATCTCGAGCCGGCAAAACCTCATTTTCGGCCCTTGGTACGAAATATACTATTGAAAAATGGTATCTGAATGAGGTTCTCTAGAATACATAATTCTGTGATTCTCATCCCCCTGTGATAACCTCAAAATTTACTGCTAAAGGTCTATCCCTCAGCTCCATGGACATCAGCTCCATGGACTCCATGGTCAATTTAATGACCACGGAGCTGAGTAAATGTCCACGGAGCTGAGGGTTTTAGCTTTTCATATATAAACTATGGGTTTTTTGGTGTAATTTACATTGATTACACCAAATAAGTTATAGTAAATAAGTTACCTACGAGACTTCAGTTATTATTTATAAAATTTTTAAATACAACAACTTATTTACTTTCCAAATACAAAAACGCATTGATTTTCCTTCACTGTTTTACAGCTAAGAAACAGAAGACATTCCGGAAGAAAAAGCCAATATACTCTGCCATATACAGTGATTCGGATTCTGATCCAGATAACCCTCCAGAGCTCAATGTGAAAACCAATGACTTTGTTGTCGTTAAAGTGTTCGGGAAAAAAACCTTGAACTTCTATGCAGGTTGTGTCACAAAATGTTTCAATAACGGGGGTTACCAGATAAGATTCATGCGAAGGTGCACTGACACTAAAAACAAATTCTTTTTTTCCAGTGAGCCTGAAGCATCAGTTACCAAAGATGAGGTTGTTGCTACTTTGGAGCAACCAGATTTAATAAATTCTAGAGGCCAGTACGTTTTCAAACAATTGCCTGAGAATTACAAGTTATTAGGTTAGCTTTCAAGTAGTAGGCCTATTTAGCTGAAGCTTCTTGAATTTTATATCCTGTTATAAAGACTTGTTACCTATGTATGTAGTTTCAGTAAACATTAAATGAGTTCTTAATTTATTGCTTAGTTTTGATTTAGCCTCCCAAATGATGAATGTTTTATAAATTACATAAACTTGAGTACGCCAATTTAAACAGATTTGTTGCGCTTCCCTGCTTTAATGATTTTAATGACGAAGCACTTAAAAAGAATTTAAAAACATTGTTTGTAAGCATTAGATAATAAACTTTTAACATTACATAAAAATACTAAGAATATCAACATTTTTACCCAATTGAAGAGCAAACGCATGTTACGTCTCTACTCCGTGGACATGTCACAACTCCGTGGAAACAAAAAAAAAATATATATTTTTTTCTTTTAAATAAGTAGAAAAGCTTGTGTTTCAAAATGCCTAGGCCAGGGTTACCTAGTGAGATTTATGAAAAGGTGTACTGACACCAAAAACAAATTCGTCTTTTCAACCGAGCCAGAGGCTTGTGTCAGTAATGATGAAGTATTATCTATTTTGAAAGAGCCTTCTTTGTTAAACTCCAGAGGGTTGTATGTATTTGAAAACCCACCCCAACAATATAAATTGTTGAACTAAATCATTAATAGTTTGTTGCTGTACTCATTAAGCTTACACTTGACGGAATAGTTTTATTTTCCTGATGCTGTGGTTGTCCCAGTAGAGTTCTTAAATATGTTCTTACTTATTCTTCAAATTTTATAAACATAAGAGCCTTTACTTTTACAAAGTATTTCTTTTACTTTCAATAAATGTGTAATTATTTTAATTGTGTGTATAGTTTTATTAATTTCCCTAAAACATCAGGTCCGTGGACATTGCGGTCATGTCCGTGGACACTTATAAATAAAAACATTAATTTAAGCAAAAAATGGACAAGTATCATCTGGGCGAGCTATATGGTCTAAATAATGAATATTAGTTGAACACAAACTGATTACTAAAAATTAAAAAATTAAAATTTTATAATTTTGTTTTTTGCCTTGTCGAATTCGACGTTTTGTGGAGAATGACCCATTTAAGTTAATTCCACATTTAACGGAAAAACAGGCTATCACCGTACCGAAAATTGCAATTCGCTGCCAGCTAGCACAACCTTTCTAGCCTGGATGTCGTCCGAACCTGCTCCCGTTGGAGCGAAGACACACTACCTGTGGTCTTCATACAGGACCCTGCTCTACAATTCAGAACGTACAGGGAGGACAACATACTTGTACTACAGACTGCGAGGTTTGTAAGGAACGAACACAGTTCTATCACAATCCCGAAATTTAGACCACAGTAACCTTAACCCGGACTTGACAAAATGATGGTGGGTCATTCCACATGAATTCAACCAAAAATAAAATTGTTTTGAACCTGACCTATTTAGAATTTTATAATTTTTTGTAGGCTTGTTCTACTTATAAAGCAGGTAAAAAATACAAAGTTTTACATTTTTCTGAGTTACCGTGTTTGAGTTACGGTTGTTTTAAAAAACGCAAAAAAGGAGAAGCTGCCAAATCCAGCTTACAGAGGCATAACAGTGAACACATTTTAACCCCAGAGCAGCTATTTCAGTTTTCTGTTGACAACATCACTGGAATTGATTTTGAATACTGCACAAATGATGATTATGCAGAGGCTGAGACGAAACTTTTTTCAAGGTTTAAAGAATCAAAAGCAATTGAAGGGACTCAAAAACTCCATACATTTACACCATTGTCAAAAAACAATATTCTTGCAAAGCCCTATTTTTCTAGCTCAAAACATCAAACAGAAACTACAACAACCATTGACTACTTAACACCAACAGATATAGAAAATATAGAGTCAGGTTATGTCACAGTCTTATGAGTATGTTTTATCTATGGTCTTATATGAGGAATCTTGGTGGCTAGCTTGCATTCTTGAAAAAAGTGATGTTAATGAATTCAAAGTCAGCTTTCTACATTCTTAGGTCCAGCACCTTCACTTTACTACCCCAAGGCAAGTGACACATTAATAATACCAAGCAACACATTCCTTCAATTAGTTCATCCAGTGACACCAACAGGAAGAGTATATTTTTTGAGTAAAACTGAAAACTGAAACATATGCTCTAGAAAGATTTTTGAAAACATAGAAAAATCCATTTTTGAAACGTTATCGGAGTATGGAGGTTTAGTGAGATGTAAATTAACGAAACTGTAAATATACTATGAACTTGTTTATAGTCTCTAATGCTAGTGAAAATTAACAATAGTCTAAGTTAGTATGGATATTTTAACAACAGTAAATGGATATTTTGTTTTCTTGGAAGAAGTACCAACCGCATGTAACCAATTGTTAAGGATGAAAAAGTTTCAAATAAAAGAAGTTTTTACCAAGAGCACTTCTTGTCAGGTAAACTTGTTCTGCATGTTACTTAATCCTTTAAAATACTCTAAGAAAATGATGGAATATTTTAATTTCTACAATACTAAGATAAAATAAAATACTTAGTTTTACTTCCGGCTGTGAATTTTGTGTTCAAAATCTGGGTTTTAGATGTAAAGATTTTTTTTTAGATTTATAAAAACATGTTAACACTTAAAAAAAAAAAATACAATCAAGGAAATGGAGGCATGTAGTATGTCAAATTAAAGCCAAAGAAAACAACACAAATTTGGGCTCTCTAGGTCTAATAGTTCTTAAGCTGTGAATTTTTTAAGATTGTGAACTTGTGCTTTTTTTGCGTTTTTGAACAACCGTAACTCAAAAACGGTAACTCAGAAAAAATTGAACCTTTGTTGTATTTTTTATGTACTATTATATGTATAACATGTATACCAAAAATCATCAACTTTTGAAATATGAAGGTTCAAACCATTGGTTGAATTCATGTGGAATGACCCTGGTGGGGGTAGAGTCCCATAAGTAAAGTTGACTGTTTTATGTGCTCTTTTTTTGTGAGTTTTTTCAGTGAAATACACTTTGTTTAATTTGGTCTAGAAAATGTGTAAAAAATTTCTGATTACTTTAATAGCCTTGTGGAAAAGGGTAACACAATAAATTACAAGTAAGTGATGAAATATTAAATAAATTTCCTGGAAGAACAGGTAGCTAGCAAAAAAGATTATCTTATCATTCTGGATAAGCTGGACTCAGTGTTAGCTCAAAGGTCAAGTCAGAGCTCCTTATCTCGTCTGGTGACTGGCGACTTCCTCGTTATGATTGCTAAATGTAAACAAACCATTATCTAAAGAACACTTAAATAAATTTGGATTGGATGACCCAAGTTTTGGAGAAGACTCAGAATGTGATTCTCCATGGTCCAAAAGGATTTAACGGTCAAAATAGACACCTTAAAATTTTGACGTTATACAGAATAAAAGCCGTATTAAATGAGGAGAGAGGATTGTCTTATTTATTTGGAATTATGGAAGTCGCAACAATAGGAGTGGAAAGTTACTGGGCTAAGTAAACCCCTCCTCACTCCAAGACGATTCTCGTAACGGCCGCTGCCTCGCCAGGCACTAGTGTCGGACCTTGAGCGGGGTGGGGGAAGCCAAGAGCAAGCAGCAACGGAGAGTTCAGTGAGTCAGTCTCGTCCTAGCCACCAGCGAAGTAAGACACATCCTTCCCGGTGAGTGTACTATCGTAGCTACACTTTACCGCTCTTACGTTCGCTTATACGTCCGTAGAAGACTTTTTGTTGGGTATGCTTTAGAAAAGCAATTAACCAAAAATATTAAGCGGGTGAAAGCAATAGGAAGAGATAGGCACATAATAAACAGTATTGGAAGTAGCATTGTAAGGAAATATAAAATTCAAAATGAAGCCAAAAAATGATAAACGATTCAAAATGATATAGAATTGAAATGAATCTATTATTCCTAGTTTTACAGCTATACCCGCAAAAATAACAAAAGTGATGACGACAGCTTTAAAACCTATAAGAAGAAAACATACAACACGGTAAAAGTTGTTGAAGCTAGACAGATAAAAAAAATCTTTGAAGGAGACGATGTTTCTATGCTACTTGGAAAAAAAGATTATGTAAAATGAGGGGGCGTAAAAAAACAAAGGAGACTTTAGCTAGACAACTTAAAAAATCTATACAAAAAAATCAGGAATGAAACCAACTGCAGCATTTCGTATACAACTTTTACAAGGTGTAGGCCGTGTTGGGTTGCCCCTCCAGCATCAAGAGATCGTGACACCTGTGCGTGTATTAAAAAAGAAAACGTAAATTTGTTGGTTTCTGCTTTGAAGAAAATGAATGCTATAGAATACAAGGATACTTCAGAACTTATAAAATCTGTAGTATGTTCTACTGAAAGTGAACAATGCATGACGAGCAAGTGCACCAAATGCAAATCATTAGAAATTTTATATACAACGGAAGACAAAAATGTTCATGTTAATTTCTTTAAATGGACTTCAATCAACTTAAATGGAAAAGAGAGTAATAAAAGAAAAATACCCCCGCCGCAGCAAACCTGCCGTCTAAGCGAATTTCCATTTGGCTGAATTGATTTTCAATCGATCTATTTAAATAACATTAGGTTTAACGAGTACCTAGGTTTGCTGCTACAAGGAAACTAATAAAGTGTGTGTTTTAAGTAAAATAATTATTGCTTAGTATAAAATGAATATAGGCTATTTTCCAAGTTTGATCAAAAGAGATCCATAAACAAGCAAACTACAACATTTTAAAATATTCTCCATAAGAATAACATGAGAATTTTAAATTTACAATTTTTTTAGTTTTCTCCGTAACCAATAACCGTACAAAAACACTTTGATATACTGAACTGTTTGTTTTTTTAAGCTCTTTAAGAAGGTTTAGAGAAAAATTGGGAAATTTTGTGTTTTGAGGGTCAAAAGTGAGAAAACCCAATTTTTACCCCATAAAACCCCCCATAAAACCCTGTTCCCATGGTCCGATCATGATGGATCGCGAACTCATTCAAGTTTATCCCGACTTACACCTTCAAACCAAATTTCATCAAAATCGGATAAAAATTACTCAAGTTATCGTGTTCACGGACACATATATATATATATATATATATACATATATAAAAATTTGAACGAATGGTGTTTTTGGCCTCTGGGGACATCAAAATGAAAAAGTAAATCGGTCCCGGGCCTAAGTCTTACCATGAGACCTACGGTAATAGCTACTTCCCTATAGGGAAATTCGCTAAAAGTGTCAAGCGAACAGTTAAGTCCACAATGTCAGCAAATTTAGCTGAAGTAAAACTTCTTCTCAAGTCACGAGTTAATATTGTAGTGTCTACTCTTCCTTATGGCCTTTACCACCATATTAAAAGACAGTTGTTTTAACTAAATATTTAACATATGTTGGTTTTATTATTATTAATTTTTGATTTGTAAACAGTTCAGTTTTTACATTGTTTTAATACAACTTTTAATTCATACAACTATTGATTTTTATCATTTACTTTATTGGTGAAGCCTTATAAGACAACATGAACATTAATGAAGATTTGGTTACCCAAGAAATAGCCAACTTGTCTATTAAAGTTCCTCAATTCTGGAAACCTGACCCAAAAATTTGGTTCGTTCAAATTGAAGCTCAATTTCGAAGATCACGAATTGTCTCAGATCAAGCCAAGTTCGACACGGTGGTAAGTTCTATTGACGCTGATATTCTCAAGTCTCTGAGATTGTCACAGATCCACCAGCAGAGAACAAATACATAGCAATAAAAACTAAATTAATTTCCTCGTATGATGAAAGTGACACAAAAAAAATACAAACCCTTCTGACAGGTATGGAACTTGGGGACCAAAAACCCTCGCAACTTCTGAGTAGAATGAGGTCACTGGCTCAGAATAAGGTGAGTGACGATTTTTTAAAAGCTCTTTGGTTGAAACAACTACCGATCAATGCTCAAACTACTCTTTCAATTTGTGATGAAAACTTATATAAACTTTCGGAGATGGCTGACAAAATTATTGATATCACAACTAATCATCTAAATTCCACTACCTCTGTTTCTTCCATAGAAACACAGGGTTCACGTATAACTAATCATGCACGTATAACACATCAGAATTGTCTAATGAAATTCAATCCATCTACAAAAACAATCTAAGTCAATCCAAATGTGTTTCTCACAACACACACACAAGGAAATCTTCTCCACAACAGTCTTTGTGTTACTATCACTTGAATTTTGGTGGACATGCTCGCAAATGCACACCTCCCTGTTTGTTATCTCAGTTACCTTTGGAACAGGAAAACTCCAAAACTTGCTTTTCAGCCAGTGAAATTAAAGACCAAACGTACATTATTGTTGAGCTTCAAGAACAATCAACAATCAAATCTAAACAAAAGCCAAACGTGTACAAATATGTTGCTGTATGTCAGCATGACTTAGTAACAGACTTGATGGGGAAGTAAAAGTTAATTTTCTTAGAATAGTTAACAGTAAATTACCTAACTCAAAACAGCTGTTTCGACTCGATGAAAACGACCATTCTGTCGTGATATTCGAGGAAATTAGATGTATTTTGAAGCCGTCTACTAAAGTATTAAGAGGCCAACGAGTATATTTCCGTTTTCCCACTGAGTTAGATGTTTTTGAAAAGTCTTAAATCTACTGTACTACATAATCAAACATTTAGTACACCCTTTATGAAGTGTGCCAATGAGGTGGGTTTTTATTTTTTGCCGCAGTTGAAACGCACTTTGACAAATTAGCCTATAGTAAGACAGATGAAAAAGACTTGTTGTCAACACTATAAGACTTATAAAAGACTGATAAGTTTGAGAATTGTTGTTTTTTATCTTAAGTGACAACTGCGTTTTATATTCATGCATTTTACATTTTCAAGTAACGTTCTTGTTAGATTTATTGCAGTCTGACAAAATTATACTCTACCGTACCTAATTATACTATGATTTATATGGGTTTGTTACCGTTAAGTTGTTTATATAAATAAATTTACATTCAAACAGATATGTGTGTTTATATTTTACCAAACTTTTAATTTTTGAATATATATATATATATTTATATATACTTATTCATTATAAAGTCTGTCATTTAAAGAAATGTCTTTCCTCTGGTCATTGCTGTCCTTCCTCTGGCATGCGATAATTAAAAAATATTTTATATATCCCGTAATAATGATTTTTATGAGTGCACCTTTTGAAGTAGTGTAGTACATAGTTAAATGTAATTGAAAATATAAAAAAATAATTTAAAAAAAATTTGATTGCCATTTTTTGTCTTAAAATTGACCTGTTTAGAAATATTCACCCAGATACCCTTGACCCGGAAAAAGTTCACTACAACCTCATCCTCAAAAAAACTACTACACCTGCAAAGACAAATAATCTTAAAAGAAAGGCCAAAGAAATCCGAGCTCATCTGAGCTATTTCGAGGTTAAGATGGGGCTTGAGAAAGTTCAGAAGTTTACCCGCGGAGAAATTGAAGTTGAAGACCAGTCATTATTTCAAGTGTGGAATTCCATCACGAATGAGCTTACCACCCTAAAAAGTGAAATTTCAGCGTCGGAGAAAGAAAACGAAACTCCATTTGACCCTTCTACAACTTCAACTCCGGATCCTAAACGGCCGTCAGCCCTAACACCTGCTGAAGAAGAGATTGTGGACGACGTGCTGGCCTTTCCAATCGACTTTAATGAAGACGGAAGTGACCAGGCCGGAATCGTCGAGGGCCGGATAATTGCAGACGGCAACTCTTCCGTGGACGAACAGGGTCTGCAGAACATCATTGTCAGCCTAGGATTTACCAACGCAGACCAAGGCATATCTATCGAGGTAGGTCCCGTTTAATAATTTTATTAAGTTACATTACACAGTAAATATAAGTAAAAAATGCAAGACTCATTTTAACATTCGTGCTGCAACTTAAAACAAATTAAGTAAAGTTAAGATAGCCTACACGGTTGAAAACGGGGAGCACATAAAGGTAACACCCCAACAACGTACCATCACGACAGCCTGACACCACACATTTATCCGATTTGGGGGTTGTCGTGGTGGCAAAGTTGTTGGGGCAGCAATTCATTGCTAACATGCAAGGCGGCGTGTTGGTGGTCGCATCTTAACAGCAAGCCCTTGAATACCACTGTTAGAAATTCATATCAACCACCTGTGTTCATTATAGTGAAATATTTTTTATCATCCAAGTTATTATGGTTAAACATGCCTATTGTTGCAGGTGTCTGTCACGGATATATTGGAGAGCATGCCTGAAAGCAATGTTCCTGAGCAGCCTGATCCTGAATTGATACGTGAACTCCCATCTGAGAACAACCAGCCATCATGCAGCCAAACAGAAACTACGAGCTCTGCAGGTAACTTAGAGGATTTATTCATTAGACATACTTTAGACCAACGCAACGAGATGATTAAGTTAAACATTCATATCTTTCTATTATCAACTCATAGTTTTTTTTTTACATTAAGATGCTTATTTGAAGTGTTATGTTTTTTACTTTTTATTTCGGGAATGCCCCTACCAGGAACATACACCACTCCATCAAAATGCTGTACATCCATTAGTATGCCATCACCTTTTAAAAGGTGCCTGCAATATCCCTCCCCGACATTAATCAAGAAAAAAGTCAAGAAGAGACCTAACACCAGCTGTGATTACGGGAGAAAGCTACAGACAGTACATGGAGGCAAGAGAAGCTAAGAAGAGGGAAAAGGAAGAAGAAAAGGAACGGCGGCGAATGATACGACAAGTAAAGAACACAATAAAACAAGAAGGAAGTAACAACAAACGACCGACAACAGCACCAGATGACAGTGACAGTGACTCCCAGGATGAAGAAATTCCCATTGTAACCCCTAAGGACCTTGAAAATCTGATGGCCAATAGCTGGGTCGTCGTCCCTTATGATGTGGAAGGGAAACAGCAATATTTTCCTGGCCAAATAAAAATCAATTACAAATGACAGAGCCGGAATAAAATTTCTTTGTAGTAAAGGAAACAAATTTATATGGCCTGATGAAGACGACTTCGACATTGACGTACCTTTGACAGACATTGTCCAAATTTGTGCACCCGCTGTGGAGAGACGTGGTTTCTTTTCATTCAAAGAAAAAGTTATGTCATAAGTTTCGTTCCCGTCAGTAGACATTTTTGTACATAGTGTATAATTTGTATATAAATGTATTTTTATTTTAAGTTTGTTGTAATTAATTTTGAAATAATTTTAAATTACACCCGCTGTGGAGGGACGTGGTTTCTTTTCATTCAAAGAAAGTTTTTCCAGAAAATGAATGATAAAACAAAGAAACAGAGGTACTTCGAAAAACTGAAAGCAGATCCAGAGCGTCTAGCTGCGTATCATGAAAAGGAAAGGCAAAGGCCAGATTTGCAGAAGAAATATAGGAAACAAGAAACGTTAAGAAAGCGTAAGCAAAGGGAAAAAAAGAAGGTAGGCCTAAATTCAGCACCCCCTAGGATACTAATACCTCTAATACCCTAATACTACCCTAATACTAGGGGGCGTATCCTAAATTCAGAACTTGGATCATTCAAACAACCTCAAAGTTTAGGGAAAGCTTTCAATAAATTTTAAAAAAATCTGCCCAAAAGCCCATCTAAAAAGCAAGCTGTTGTAAGAAAATTAATCAATGAATTCCCAGAGTTGTTGCAGTCAGCAAAGAAGCCTCTGTTTAGGAAAAAAAATACTTTCTGATGAAGATTGGCAGATTGTTACTAATTTTTATTGTAGAGAAGATATCAGCTATCAAGCTCCTGGTAAAAGGGATACTAAATCAGTAAAGGATCCAGAGACCAAAAAACGCAAACTTTTGCAGAAACGATACTTTGTAATGTCTGTAAAAGAGCTGTACCAACAGTTCATAGAAGAGACTAATTTGAGACATGTTAAGAAAACAGCTTTTTATAATTTAAGGCCCAAAAATGTTTTGCTGGTTTCAGACATACCACACACTGTTTGCATGTGTAAATACCATGCAAATTTCATTTATTTGTTAGAATCACTGATAAATACAGAGTAACGGAAACTGATTTCACCCCAAATGGTAGTGATGTAATAAGCCGGGCCGTTTGTAGTCTTAACAATGAGGAGTGCATGTTAAGCACCTGCATTAAATGTAAAGATGTGGATATTGAGCAGTTTTTGGTAGATAAGGATACTGAAGACTATGATCCTGAAAAAAAAATCAAATTGAAACAATGGTTAGACATTGAGAAAAGGCCTAGAATAACTGAATGTTATGGCACAGTTTCACTGTTGATCCTTGAAATAAAGAAGCAGCTTCCAGTGTTTAAAGTTCATTGCTTTGTGAAAAGAGTACAGGCTGATGAAACTGATATAAGGAGAAAGAAGGGCATACCTAGTTTTGGGGTTCTTCAAATCGATTTTGCTGAAAATGTTTCCATTATCTCACAAGATGAGATACAAAGCGCACACTGGTCACATGAACAAGTGACATTGTCCACTAGTTGTGCATGGGTTGGGGATAAAACCACTTCGTACACTGTTATCAGTGACGATTTGTCACATGGCAAATTATCCTTCAAGGTTTTTCTTTATAAAATAGTCACAGGTTTAAAAAATAGGTTTCCAAAACTTGAAGAACTGACTATTTTCTCAGACGGCCCCTCATCGCAGTTCAAGAACAAGTACACAGCTCATCTGCTATACTCACTGCAAAAAGATTTCAGCATAGATGTGGAATGGTTGTTCTTCGCACTATCACATGGCAAAGGAGCCGTAGATGCCATTGGGGGTGCACTCAAACGCAATGTTTGGCTTGCTATTAAATCTAGAAAGCGTCTGATCTCAAGTGCTTACGACTTTTATGTGTTGGGATTTCACTCATAATCTGCATATAACGAACCATACTTAGCAGAGATATGGTTCGTCATTAAGCCACACTTTTAAAAATGTCATGACCAGAAATAATATAACAGTTTCATTTAAAACTACAAACAAGCTCGGATCCTTATTGAAAGAGCGGCAACAAACGGATTCCACTGTTTATGACAAGTCTGGGGTTTACAAATTAAACTGTAGGGATTGCCCAAAATATTACATCGGACAGACTTCACGCTCTTTCAGGAAGAGGTTCAGAGAACATATCCCCAAGAAAACTACAGGCCCACAAACTTCAAATTTCGCAGAGCATTTAATTTCACTCAACCACAATTATGTAAACATAAATAGTAATATGGGCGTTTTACATCTCTCCCAAGACCGATCAACCATTAACACTTATGAAGAATTTGAAATATACAAGGCAGTCAAAACAGATGGTCAAAATGTTTTAAATGACAAACTCTCATTCCAATCGAATTCCATTTATAACACCGCAATCAAAATACTGGATGGGGGAGGAAGAGAGAAGGAATGAATGCGAGCCGGCAGTGATAAGGAGACAATGGCTGACGTCATACCGTTAGACCACTGACCACCAGTTCGAGCTACAACTTCCACCCGGTCGCGTCACCTGTCTCGTGTTCCCGAGTAATCGGTCTTTTTAATGTTAAATGTTTGTGTCAATGTGCGTTTTCATGTGTTCGTGTTCTATGTACTTATTTATTAAATGACGACCTTCATATATGGAAGTGAATAACGACGCCTTGTACGGCCTGAAGACGGTTCCCTGTGAACCGAAACTATAGTTGCCACAAGCAGCATATTGGATTACTGAATGCAGGTATTTAAACCACTGTAATATTTATATTGATTGCGTAATATGGTCCAATTTTGTTCGCAGCTGTTGGTCACTACGTCGCTAGCTTAGTGACGGCGTATTAGTCAGATTTCACATTTGTAAACAACAAAATTGTGTTATCATGTTTGTAAACATTACGTGTGTCTACATTTTCAAATAATAATAAGTGTGTTTATATTGGATTTTATGACGAATAAAACAATGAAGTGTCAGTTTTTTCAATAGTGTTTTGTTAGTTTTTAGTTGTTGTTCTATTACAGAAGACGAATTATTTTTCAGAAATGTTTTGGTTGAAGGTTATATGATGGCTCGTAGGGGCGATTTTTTTTATTCGAGTGAAATAGATAGAATTTTATTTGAAGAAAGCGACAGTGACCAAGAACGTAGTAGTGATTCTAGTGATGATTGTTTTGGGGAAGTAGAAGAGTTGGATCCTCAATATCTTGTGGAATCAGATGGTGAAGATGGGATAGCCAATTCAGACCAAGGCGATTGTTTTGGGGAAATTGAAGAGCTGGATCCTCAGGACACTTTGGAATCAGATGGTGAAGATGGGTTAGCCAATTCAGACAGAGACCAAGGTGAGGCTGTAAGTGATAGTGTAGGTTTTGATGAAGTACCTATTGATGATATGGACATTGAAATCGAAATGGGGCAAGGCGATAGGTCTAGTCTTGTACCTTTGGTTTCTGAGTCAATTGAAACTAGGCCTACATCTATGTCTCTTCCTGAGTCAATTGAATTTCCTAGGGCTGGACCAAGTAGGCCTAGGGATCCCAGACGTCCTCTTTTTCCCGGACATGTCCTCTTTTTGGGTACAAAAAAAACGTCCGGGGGGATTTTTGGCAATACTTTCAAATGTCCGGGATTTTGACTTTGTGAGAGAATAAAAAGATATTTCTGCAAGTATTAATATTAGCAATCAGCTTTAATAAGAAATCGTCATCATAACAATAAACTAAGTTAAAATAGGCTACTACACTTTAATAGGTAATATCTTACATATAAGTGTCATTTCCTCTTTCTTTAGGTCAAATTTCGTGTATAACGTACGCTAGAAACCATTGGAAATACTGTAGAACCAAACGGAACGGAAGGCGAACAATGGGTTTCCTGCTTTGCCTGACTCTGCTGACTGTAAACTGAATAACTCTGCTCACTATACTCCGTTCAAACAGCCGTGGCACCTGACGGATTAGGAGATTTTTTTAAATTCCATTATTAAATCATTCATATTTAGAGCACCTGATATCATATTTAAGAATAACACTACCCAATTGGTATGTTGCTAGCCACAAAACAAGAACAATGGTAGTGTCTCAGACTTAGATGCGGTCTGCGGAAGGGACGGATTTAATTCCCGGCACAACCACAACCACAAAAAAGTTGCAAAAAAACTTTATCCTCACATTGACCCCTTGTAAAATGCCACTGGCGTAGAAAAAAATTAAAACACTGAGAACCAACTATTCAGGCGGTAGCAGTGACGGGACTCCGACGGCATCGTTAGTTGGGTAGTGTACTTTGTGTAGGTTAACTGTTGTTTGCTGTGCAGGTATAATGCAGTCGTGTTGGGTGCTAGTTCTTAAACACTTCTTAGATAAAATAAGTTCTCTGGTTCATGGTCTGATTTTGGAAAATTTCTGTTTAGCATGCACATTGGCACCAGTTAAAAGGGTGTTTTTGTAAATCAAACATGCTTGAATGTGTTGTAATGTTGCAGTATTCCTTTGATATTACCCCCCAGGCCCCCCGGTGATCCCCCCCCCCAAAAAAAATATATGTCTAGGACCAATTGAATGACCCTAATAGAAGAAAGCTTGCTAATGAGAAGTTGTGAGTGCCAAAAATAAAAGCATATCTGGCACTTTATATTCTAATGGGCCAGGTAAAAAAAGCCAAGGATAAAGATGTACTGGTCGACTAGGAAAATTGTAGAAACAACTATTTTTTCAGAAGTCATGACATATAAGCAATTTTGTCTTATTTCACGATTTTTGCATTTCTCTGATCCTGATTTTACAGATCCAAAAGATAAATTGAAGAAATTGAGACCGGTAATTTCCTACCTAGAAAATAAGTTTATGGACTTCTATACAATGGAACAAGATGTAGCAATAGATGAAAGTTTAGTGAAACTTAGAGCTCGCTTGAGCTACATTCAATACAATCCAAAAAAAAAACCCCTTTTTGGTGTAAAGTTTTATAAACTGTGTGAATCATCTTCGGGATATTGTGCTGC